GTAGGATTGAGAATGGAAAAGATGATGAGAGAAACAGACGGCGTACTAGAATGGGCGGAACTTCACAACTGCAGTTTTAGATTGGACAAATTCAAGGTAGTGTATGCGACAAGGAAAAGAGCACCAAACACAGGGAGCGAAGGAGGAGGAAAAACGAAACGGGTAGAAGGACCGGAAGTAGATTTGGGGAATGCGAGGGTAAAGGCAGAGAGTTGTGCGAAGTTCTTGGGAGTAATGGTGGATGGACAGCTGAGATGGAAGGAACAACACGCGGCGATGATAAAGAAGGGGCAGGGATGGGTACATCAGTTCAGGAGAATCTCACGGATATCGAAAGGCATGGCATCTACAGGCATCTGACAACTGTACAAAACGAAGGCACTACCCCGAGTACTATATGCAGCCGACGTTGTACTCACTCCACCAATACGACAAACAACCAACGCCAAAAAACGACAACCCGCCATCATCAAGAAACTCATCTCTATACAACGGCAAGCTGCGCTCATCCTCACAGGAGCACTTCGCTCCACAGCGACCGACATCCTTGACATACATGCCGGACTATTACCAATGGACCTCGAGGTACAAAGAGTCAGACATCGGGCAGCAGTCCGACTATGCACTCTCGACCCCAAGCACCTGCTTGTCCCACGTATAGCGAAAGCGATCCGATACAATCGAAAACGACACCGTTCCCCCCTCCATGACCTTATGGAAACATTCAGCCTAGACCCAAAAAGAATAGAAAAGAAAAAACCAGTACGATACCCGCCCGATTGGGACCCGGCCTTAGAAGTACACTTAGGTAACGACAAACAACAAGCACTACAATACTTTCATTCTAGTACAGCAGATACTCACATTTTCACTGACGGCTCAGGCTTTGAAGGAGGAATCGGTGCAGCGGCAGTGCTATACAGACAGGGGCAAAGCAAGAAAGTCATTCGCTACTATCTGGGACCAAAAGAACACTACGAAGTGTACGAAGCAGAATGCGTCGGCCTGCTCCTTGCAATGCACCTTATCCAGCAGGAGACAGGAATCAAGAAGGCAGCAGTCTGGGTAGACAACCAAGCGGCACTACAGGCAATACAAACGAGCAAAAGCAGACCGGCCCACTACATCCTTGACTGGGTACACAACGCCATAAAACAGATCAAAACCGACTCCCCCCGAACCCAAGTCTCCTTTGCCTGGGTACCCAGTCACATCGGTATAGCAGGGAACGAGAAAGCAGATGAGCACGCGAAGCTGGCAGCGGAGGGAAAATCGAGCAGAAAATCACGTCTACCGAAGCCTCTCAGAAACACCTTACCATTCAGCAAAACCTCCGACCTGATCAGAACATACCGAGAAAAACTCGAACGAGCCCACAACGACCAGTGGAAACGGTCACTACGCTACCAGCGCTTTAAAGACATCGATCCCTCCCCGGCCACAACGGCCATGCGCAACTTTCAGAAACTGATCCGAGACCTCCATCGCTCCCACACCAGCATGCTCATCCAGCTCCGTACCGGTCACATCCAACTATACTACCACCTCCACCGCACACAGCAAACTGACTCTCCTACCTGCCCATGCTGTAACCAGCACCAGGAAACCGTTGTCCACTTCCTCCTGCTATGCCCTGCTCACAAACACGCCCGCTCACGACTCAAAAGAGCCATAGGCTCCAGAGACCTCACCCTCCGCATACTGCTCAGCGAGCGAACAAACCTGAAACATCTCTTCAGCTACCTAAATGACACCAAACGCTTCGCCCACGTCTACGGCGTATTTCCACCGATCCCAGACAAAAGCGACGACAATGACTGAATGCCGGACGAACCCTAACACTCATGCCCATCGACGATCCCAAAGACCGCAGCCGTCCATTTTCTTCTTCCTTTTAACTTATGTAAATACTTATCATACTAACCATAATATCTCCCTTACTCAAACCACGAACCACACCTAATCCACACAAGCACCCACTACACTCAATTAATCCTTAGAATACTTCACACTACCCACTGCCCTCATCAGAAACAAACTGACGGCAGCCACACTACCTTACCACATATCTCTTCCACAACTTACTTTCGATGTTTTTAGCTTACAATTCCGAACGGCCGGGCCCAACAAGTAGATACTTTACACAGCAAGTGTAGTCGCTACCATATGCTAACGCACAGAGGCGAATAAACGAGGAAAAAAAAAAAACGCACACTGGCTGCTCAAGCGTTGATGTTGATGAATGGCGTGAAATTCAGAACATGTTTTTGTACAAAGCTTGTACAGCGACTGATTGAGGAGCCAGTACACAAGATGAGATAGATAAGAGTCCGTTTCTGCTCGAATGTTGAACGTTGAGCACTTGAGCAGTCGAGTAACTCACGCATCATGTTTGGGGTCATGGAGGAAACAACGGGTGTCGGCTGAAGAAATTGCGGTCAGGCGGACAAATGGTTCCGGTCAAGGACTATTCACACGCTCTGACCTCCGATGACTTTCACTACCATCCTCCCATCCTTTGTCCTAAGCCTATTCTCCTGTGGGAAACATCAAGACAATGCAACTGATCATGCATGAGCGTCACACTACTATGCTATACTAAATGATTGACTAGCCTGATCCTATGGAACTTCGTCGACATTTCTAGATGCCCGTCGAGACTAGGTAGGACGCTCAGTTGACTCTAGGCGGCGGCGGCCTCAAGTAAAGCCCATTCGCATGCGTTCGGGATCGAGCCTCTTGAAACAAGGCTGTGATGGGCCTTGCGATCGCTTGACCGCTCTACAATCAGGTGTCCGTAGCTCAATGTCATACTCTGGTTCAAACATCACCATCACCCATGCGCTTGCGAGCAGAAGAAAACACATGAGATATGTCACGGTATGATATATCAAGACTATATTCAAAAGACCGTTTTGATTTTGATCTCCTGCCTGGGAGAAAATCTGAGCTTTGGGTGCGGTTAAATGAATAAACGAAACATTTCCTTTCCGCGGGCCCGTCACAGTTATGTAAGTACTATGCAGGATGGGATAACCCCGCTGTTAGCGTATAGGTTTCTTTTGCTGATGACTACCAGAACATTAGCCAGAGATCATCGGAACAGAAGTGCTAAAAGAAAGATTTGGGGTCGACATTTTTTTTTGCAGGTTGTTGGTATCTGCAACCAGATTTCAGGGGGAAACATTTTGAAGACTGGATCAACACGAACGTGCCGATATTCAAAAAGTGATCATTCTAGGTTTTTAAAGCTAGCGCTCATCGGTATCCGACCTTGATGTTTACAAAAATTCCTGTGCTTGGAGTCGTTCTTACACCACAAGAATGATCTTAAATTCAAATCCACTAACTACTGTTCTTCGGCTTGAATTTCCTCTAGCATCACAGAGCGGTAAGTTTAACCCTCCATTTCCCGTTTCGAATTTATAAATGCTCTAACGGTATCCGAATCCAGAATACATAATAAAAGGTAAGGATCTACATATCGCTCGAAACCTGAATTAAATAAAATCAAAATCTGAATTTGTGTGATGGATCCGTTGAACTGTGTGGTCTGTGATTCCTTATTTCCGAGCGGATGCGCAAGGGTAAGTATTGATTTTGAAGAGTATTTAAGCAGCGTCGTGGTACGGCCTTGTACTCATCCTGGTTCCTTACCTAGGTTTTCTCAATCTTTTCTAACGCCTTTATCCTTCGTTCGTCCGCCGTTAACGTTCAAACATGAAGTTCTCTGTCGCTGCCGCTGCTACTGCTCTTGTCCTCGCTTCCTCCGCTTCTGCCAACCACGTCGTACGTCTTTGTTCTCATTGGAATCGTCCATGATGGTCGGACTCAAGAGAAACATCTTGTTGTTAATGCTCACCAGTTTACTCTGAACAACCGATGCGGGAACGCTGTCAACGCCGTCGTCGCTGATACCCGATGTGGTTTCAGTCCTCGTGAGTGGTCCTTTTTGTTTCCCAACGTTGACGAGCATCTCGAGGGCTGAGAAAGGATTTTTTTTCACTTTAAGGTTGCGACGATGCTTCTAGCTTCACTGGCGCTCAACCTGGAAATATCGCTGCTGGTACTTCCAAGACAGTCACTATTCCTTCCAACGTAGGTCGATATCATTCAAACTGCCCTATCTCCCCTTCTGACAAAAAATAAATCAATTCTCATATATAAATTCAGTGGGTCGGACGTATCTTCAACCAAAACGGTAACTGCGGAGCTAAAGGTGATGGATGCAGTATGACCGAGTTCAACTTGGGTAAGTTCTTGGTCGTTACTTTTACTGTGTTTGCCACGGGCACTCAAATTTTACTCTTTACTTTTGCAAAAAAAAAAAAACAGACTCTGGCAATGCCTTCACTCCCCAGAGTTACGACATTTCCAACATCCAAGGGTTCACGCAGTCTCTTCAAATCAGCGCTCCTAATTGCGCCACGGTCACTTGTACGAACGCTAACTGTGGAGTGCGTACTACCTTTCATTGATTTCTCTTGGATCGTTGTTCTGATGAATTTTTTATTCGATTTGCTTCCTTAGTGTGCCAACGCATTCCCCGTCGGAGTGAGTACATGGTTTTCTTCAAAAATTTCCGTTTATCTTTCCAGTTGAGTTGTTTTTGCTCACCGATCTTGTTATAGGACACCACTGGTTGTGGCAACGACTCGCCAGTCCGTGCTTGCGGTGCTGGAGATGTTCCTTTCACTAGTGAGTCTACTTCCTATCCTACTGTCAATACTGTGGATGACTGACCGAATTTTCCTTCTCTAGTCACATTCTGCCCTTAAAATCCTCCATAATTTTTGACGATTTTTTACGAGTCTGTAGGAAATGCGAATATCAGAGAAAAATGAAATATTTAGTACTTAGAACGTATGTATATAGGTTCAAATAATGATATTTTGGGATCATCTAAATGGATATAATTGGGCCTTGGCTCGAAAAACCTGCTACTTCTTGAAGTAACTTCAAAGATCTGGTTAAATACCTGAACGCGGGAAGTAATGACGGTCCCTGTCGATTAGTGGTTAAATCATCACGTTGTGGTGGTGATAAATTGATTCATCTGCAATTCCGTGAAGCCGGGAGCTCGAATCTCCCCAGGGACAGTTTTCTTTTTATTCTCAACCACGATGGCGACATTCGCCAAATCCACATTTGACACGTCCGTTTACGCAGCCTCTCGTCCAACCTATCCAAAGGCTCTTTTCCAATTCATTTTCAACTACCATCAAATTGGTATCGAGGCTTTTCCACCCAAACTCAAAGCTGCCGCAAGTCAAGAGTTCCAAGAACGTTTCCGAAGTGGTCCGACTCCAGGATGGGGTACTGCGGTCGATTTGGGTTGCGGGACCGGTCAGGCAACGGTCGAATTGACGCCTTTCAAGCACATCATTGGTGTGGATCCGAGTCAAGGGATGGTTGAAAAGGCCAAGAAGTATACGGAAGAGTTGTATCCTGGTCCTACATCGACGACGAGTGCGTGTTTCTTCTCTTTTTTAGCTCTAAGGAGCCTTTATTGACGGTGAAATGTGATCAGGACGCGGTCAGATATTCGAGTACATCCAATCTCCAGCTGAAAAACTGGATTTCATCAAAGACGAAAGTGTAGACCTAGTCATTTCTGGTATGTACGCCTTCCTTTTCTCTTACTCTAAGATTCTTCTCTCTCTCTCTTACCCTTCTTCTTTCTGTTTCACCAGCCCAAGCAGTACATTGGTTCGATTTCTCTTCCCTCTACCCAGCTCTTTCCCGAATCCTCCGCCCTAATGGTACATTCGCCTTCTGGGTCTACACCGAATTCCGTTTACCCCAATTCCACCCTGCGCTGACGCCAATGATTACCGAATACCACCAGGGAACGGAGAACCCGGAAGAGAGTCTAGGTTCGTTCTGGGAGAGACCAGGAAGGACAATTCAGGAAAGGTTTTTGGTTGATGTACCTGAGCCGGCAGAGGTGTTAGGCGGGACAGAAGGAGCTTCATTGAGTGCATTGGACAGGGTTTATTTTGCTGGTATGTGCTGGCTTTTGGTATTTCTTTGTTCTGTTCGTGCTCTCTTTCTGCGGCCTCGTTTCTTCGGGGCGCGTATACGCTGCACTCGGATGCGACCTTCCCTTGCTCCAAACCTATGTATCCTATTCAATTTTTTTACATTCAATTTTTTTACATCCAACTTCCAACTACGTTTGACCCTAACTTATATCACCCTTTCTATTCAGGCCCTTATAACCCTCGAACGTTCACCCTCCCCACCACCTGCACCCTCCCCGTCATCATGCGTTCCCATACGACTTGGAACGGACTCTTGGGGTACTTAGACACGTTCAGCGCTTTACATAACTGGACGCAGCAACATCCTGGGAAGGAGAAAGTTTCAGAGGGATTTTGGAGGAAGCTGATGAAGGAGGCTTCCGGAATTGAAGGAAAGGAAAAGATTAAAGGCGAAGATGCTCTGACGGTGGAGTGGCCTGTTGCGTTGGTTTTGGGGAAGAAGATTTAATAATGAATTAGCTGTGCTTATGAGGTCAAGCGTATCGACACAATGATACCGGTGAATACTGTAGACGTATCATGCCAATATCAATGATGGACCACATGAGCCTGGTACATACATAACGGTTATGGAGGTTTATTACCTAGGTTTGATAGGATTCTGGAACTCTACATCTGCGTATTGTTCGTACGTATGCGCAGCTGAAGTTAGTTAGGTACACGGCAGGGTCCCAGGTCGGAATATATCTATGTACTTATAAACCTTGAAGGAGTGAGGAATCTTATCGAGCCTTGACTCGATTTCCTTGCTAGAGCAACCGCTGCGATACAGAAGGACATTCGGTAGGAAATCTTTCTATTCTCCATGGAACTTCCGGAAAGTCGTGCTAGGTTAAAAGGGATAAAAATTCATTATCATATTGAAGACAAGTAGAATTTGAGTAGAATTAACTTGAAGCAGAAAAGTACATTCGCAGAAAGTATTGAGAAGCATTTCGTGCATCCAGACATACGGAAAAGACGATACTTTTGTTTCTTGGAGCAATCTATAGGTTCTCCTTCCCTCGGAGTCGACTCACTGACATTGAAAATTTCGAGCGATAAGCCATGTCACGTGAGCACATCAAGCTTTGACTCGATCTCCTTTGAGGCTAGAGCGACCGCTACGGTACAGAAGAATACTCGGTAGGATACCATTATGCTGTTCGTAGAATTTCCGAGGCTTACATCTGCTAAACACTTAGTGTGCTCAACAATTACCCGACAGTTCTACAATGGCATCCGAGTCGCTCCATGCCACTGGATGCCACTCAGCTTCAGCAGATCGAGTAGATGATACCACTCTGCTCTTGAAACAAGCTCTGGATGAATCGCGCCTCTACTTTTCTCACTTTCAATCTCAGACCAAAGATTCCGTCGAACGTGTTCAAGCTGACTCTAATGCTGTCCATCGGGATGACAAGGAAGTATTTCAGAGATACCTCCAAGTTCTTCGGTCCCAGCTTGCACCCATACGCAAACTTCCCCCCGAGCTTCTCAGCGAGATATTTGTTTTGTCTTTGCCCAGTACTGTGACGTACATCAGCTATGTGGGCGTATTAGATCTAATGGAACAGAAATCCCTATGGTCTCTAAATCTCGTGTCCATCTGTAAAGGATGGCATGACGTGGCTACAAATACTCCCCAGCTCTGGACATACCCCCTTAACATCAAATTTTTCATGTCCTCTTCCTTGCCTTCCCCTTGGCATGATAATGCCAATGACATTGATTCATGTTTGCAAATACTATCCAGACCGACCCCTCTGTCGCTTCTTCTCACTGGGGAAATCAGCGATTCAATGCCTGACTGGCGAAATTGCTTGCAGTCCTTGATACAAGAATCTTCGCGATGGCAGTCCCTGCATCTCGCAATTGACTTTGATTATGAGAACCATATTGATGATCATGATTTTCCCTCGAGATCTCATAGACTCTTCTGTGATGTTCTATCGTCCATCGAGTATCTACCACTTTTGGAATATCTCCACTTCAGAATCCAGATTGCGTGGTCCTCGAGCATCGAAACCATATTGCACGAGTACTTTCTTCCAACGGTGGAAGGTGCCAAGGTGTTCAGGAACGCACCGAACTTGCGGTATTTGATACTTGATGATTCTTTGCTGCCTATCAACGAGCACAGTACAAGTGACTCGAATTCAGACAGATATTCTGATGAAACCGACCTGGCCCGACGGCAGTACTCTCAGCAAGTTTTATGGCCGAATCTCGAGGCTCTCGAAATCAAGCATGTCCAGGTTGAATCTACTGTGGAATACCTCCAACTTCATCACGATGTTTTCTGTCATCTTCGCATTCTTATACTTACAGACCTTGATATTCGTGGTCTCTGGTTGATTCCCAGCGAGCTCGAGGGTAGGAAACCCATTGGTGCTTTCAATCAATTGACTACACTTGTTATCCACGAGCCCACTGATCTAATGATGTACGAAGTGCTCTATTATCTTCGGGACATTATCACCTTACCAGCTTTGAAATCGTTGGACGTAATGGTCCGCGCAATTGATGATGCAGAACCGGTGAATTTGGCATGGACTTTGTCTTCGTTTATCAGCAATCGTTGTGCACAGACTTTGGAGACGTTACACTTGACTGGTGTATGCGGAGACATTGAAGTCTTGAATTTCCTTCCTCATGTAAAAGTATTTCGGCGATGAATTGATCAATGTGGTAAGTGTTTTTACTATAAATTTCCCCCATATACTAACAGGGATGTTTGCATTGGTTTTCTTAGGAACTTATTATTTCCTTTTCGTTGCTTTCTTGTCCGTGCAAGCCTGTGTGCTGTATTATATCAAAATCTGAATGATTATCATTTCGACCTGGGTGTTAGATTGTTAAACCAAAAAACGAAGGGAAATATCATACTTACAGAGCAGGACCAGAAGCGATGGCAGATGGCTCGAGAGTCTTGTGAGAAAACAACTCGAAGGAAAGTCGTGCTAAATCAAAAGGGATAAAAATTCTTTTTTTTTCATAAGAATACATCGTAACTTAAAGCAGAAAAGTTCGTTCGCAGAAAGTACATCGTTAGCAGCTATCAGATGATAAAAAGAAGAGTTTCTATGTGATCATTGTTCGAGTCCGAGACCGTAGTAATCTTTTGCAGGTGGTAGTTGGTATCAGCTTATCAAAAATTGAGGCAGAAATAATCAAACCATGTCTGAGGGTACCGGTACATCGCATCGGTACACTAAACAAATTCAGAAGTGTCACAGATTTTTAGATGAAAGCAACCTGACGAAAAGAAAGCTCGACCTCAGGAACAAAGTTAACAGGACAGATGTCCATATGCTTCTCAATCCTTGCGAGTGACTCTATCATCAGTCGACTTGAGGAGCACTTCCAACGCTTTGAGGTTATCTAATACGGGGCTTAGACACTCCTAAGATGATCAAAGATGTGTTGTGGTTCCTCGCCGTCTAGCAAGCGCGGAAACTTCTGTAAATCATCGCATCTGCAATACCATATGATAAATGGCCAAGGAGACCACTGCCAGTACACTATACTGTATAATCCCCCAAGGCCAGTTTAAGGTAGATAGAACTTTATTATAACATTGACTGATAATAAGTAGAATACATCGTAACTTGAAATAGGAAGGTCATTCATAGAAGGTACATTGTCAGCGGTCATCAAATAATGCAAAAAAGGAACATTTCTATATCATCATTGTTTGAGTCCGAGCTAATCTTTCATAGGTGGTGGCCTTCACGATCAACTTATCGCGAATCAAGACAAGGCTTTTCAATAAATAGTTGCATCCAAGGGCGGACGACCGTTGGCAGGCTGAACGAAAATAGGTCACAATTTATCGTTGGTTATTGGACGAGAGAGAGCATATCTGTGGAGCAGGATGGTTGTCTAAAATCTCTTCAATCCTTGCCATGATACTATCATCAGTCAATTTGGGAAGCACTTCCAAAGCTTTAAGGTTTTCTGCGAGCTGCTCGGGCTTGGACGCTCCCAAGATGATTGAAGACGTGTTGTGGTTTTTTGCTACCCATGCAAGCGCAAGAGCCGAGATTGGTGCATCCAATTCTACAACACGGGAA